GCCTCAATTTACAGCTTATTTGATGCTGCAAGAGACATGGCAGCTGCTTGCAACCGCATAGCACACTTGAGCAAGACAAGAACTGAAGGAAAAACACTCTATTTTAGTCTGAAACCACAAGAAAAACAGAGATAGTCAAAAAGAACAAGCAATTTGATCAGGAAACATGACTTAGCCATGCAGCTCCATGGAAAAAAACAAGGGCCTGTCAGTAACCACACAAGGTCAGGATCTGGGATTTATATCTTGTCTGAAAGACAAAAGGTTTAGTGAGATTTTTTAAAATAAGTTTATGTTTGGTGATGTTTGATACCAAAAATAAACTCTCAGAGGATCATAATATTTGATACGTGGTGATTTCTGACACTGTTTTCCAAATAATAATGGAAAGACTCATCTGGCTGAAGTTTCCAGGCTTTGTTTTACAAAAGTCTTGTTCTTTCAGTTATCTGAATGTTTAACTTAGGTGGACAATTATTAATTGCTTTTGTCTGGACTGCAGAAAAAAAATCATCACTTAGAATTACCGCCCAAGATTTGATATGTCTATTAAGAAAAAACATTGTCCTTTTGCAACAGCTGGTACAAGGCTGGGGTCTACTAATCAGACGCCCCTCAGTCTGAATGATGAGATCTTGCTATTGTTTTGGCTAAGCAAGCCTTTTCTTGGTTGTGATAGTCTGTTTGCTCCCCGTATAATCGCTCATCTTCCTCTTGGCAATGTCAGACTCTGAGACCAGAACCAGCACCGAGTCCCATTTATCAGTGCTTCTTTCTAATGAAACCTACTTAAAAATGCCTGGAAAATGGTAAAGGATCAAGTGTCTCCACCACCATGCACAGCTCCCCATCCAAAAGACCCTTTCTCCTTTGGAGAGGGCAAGGCCCGGCTGTTGCTCACTCCCTCGCTGGCTTCGCTGTGGCAGCTGGGAGCTTGGAGGGGTCATCTGGTCCCAGATGAAGCCGAGGTTTTCTGATGTAGTTGCCTGACCATCAGAAATTGGATGGCAGCCCTGAATTCTTTTCTCACAAGTCACTTGGACAGGCACCAGATGGTAAATACTTTCAGTCTCTCCTAGCCCGGGTCTGGGGTGGAAGCAGTGACCTCAAGGTAAAAGATTGCCTGGCCCGTCCCTCGTCCCTCGGGGTGGCCAGTCCTCCCAGTCTGGCTCCACTCTCCAGTTAAGGTGTGAGGAGCAGAGGGAATAAAAATGGCCAGACATTGATGGAAATGGCCATCACCACCTCTCTCTGCTCTTGCTCTTTGAAACTGGAGCTGGATTCATTCTGGGTAGGAAACAACTTTCCCATCCTGCCAAAAACAAAGGTATTTCAAAGTTTCCCAAAGCCGGGGTGTTTCCAGGAGTCTCATGAAAAACAGCCGGCAGCCACCCCAAAGTGTCCAACAGCTGAGGGAGACCTGAGACGTCTCCTTTTCAGTTCAGGGCTCTTGGCTTTTCTGAGCTGGGTGTCCATCCAGCTTTCCCACCAGTGCTGTCCACCCTCCATGGACAGCCCTGCTCCCCTGCAGCAAGAATTTGAGCCAGGAATGCCCAAAACCAAGGGGAACATCCTTCCCACAAGGTATGGAGCTGGGCTCACTCTAGACCCATGATTTCACTGTTGATATGAATAGGAACAGACCCAGCAAGGACCCAGGACAGCCTAGGTTCTCCCCAGCAGAGATGGATGTCCAGAGCTGGTCTGACTTCAGCCAGATCTAGGAAGGGTGTTCAACACAGGGCAAAAAAGAAGGGGAGAGTCTCAGGCAAAGGAAAGGGATGGAGGGAGATATATGGTCTATATCCATCATTGGTGGATGCAATTTCAGCTGAGCAGGGTGCGCAAATGAGAGTTATTCACGATGGCACATTAAATAGCACAGATATGAAAAAAACCAGCTGTCTAAAATGTAAATTCATTGGGTCAATTCCTTCATTTCTATAGAAACAGCAGAGCTTGCCAGCGGCTAACTCAAAGGAGATGTATTCAGAATCCTGTATCAACTATTTTCTTGCACAACAGACCACAAAAAAACCCCAAAACCTACAACCCCCCAAAATCCTGACAATAATACCATGGAAACTGCAAGGCGCAACATATGGACTTAATTACTATCTCTGAAATCACACGTATGGTACAGAACGCGTATGGGGTATGTGCTCCAGAGGGGAAGGGTTATAGCTTAGTATTTATAACAGGAACTGCTAATGTGGTGCTCTCCCAGGGCTTTGCAAATCAAAACCTGTGCAAGGGCTGTATCTCTTTGCTGGGCTCTGCCTGCAGTCCCGGCCCCCCTGACACAGTGACTTGGGACCTGGAGAGCCAGGATAAGGAAACTCCAGCCCCAGTTACCCGTGGAAAAGCCTCCTCGGGAAGGCAGGATCATGGTGGACTTTGTGGGTGCCCTTCAGCCTACTCCAGCAAGGTACCAGCAATCTGAAGTGTGGGCAGCTGGTCAGGCACGGGATGGTGGGTTTGGCCCCTGTTTGGCTGCTTGACCCCGTGCTGCAGCTCTCTATCCCCACCTGAGCTCTGCTGGCTTCCTGGTGATGTCATACCAACACAGCGATGTCACCTTACTGCAGTGACATCACTGTGATATCAGCTGGGGGGAGCAGGGAGCAATGTCCCCTCTTGTCCCAGGCTGAGGGAGAGGGTAAAGAAGGGGTCCCCACCCCAAAAAGCCAAACCTGTACCCAGGAGAGGGCAGGCAGGGAGGGGGATCAATCCCCAGTGGGGTCCCCTGGGCACCCCAGCCTCCCCAGGGGGTGCCCACTGCCCCCCAAGGCCCCATGCACAGGGCTGTTGGCTGCTCCCCGAGCTGCTTACTGAGGGTGATGAGAGGTTTTTATTTCCCTTACCATCACTGTCACCTGATTTCTAACTGAGAAATGAAGTCATGCCCATTAATCAGGAGTCCCTAACAAACACAAGCCTGGAATAATTAATTGATCTCGCTGTCCCCCTGTGGCAAGGCTGGCTCGGCGCTTTGGCTGCTCTCGAGCTGTTGCTGACAGAGGCACCGCAGCCGCCTCCGGGACGCCTGGCTGAGCTGCAGCATCTGAAACGCGGCGGCCGGCGCAAGGGCACCGGCTACGGGGAGCAGAGGAGAAAGCAGCAGCGTGAGATGTGGCTCCAGCCTTCGGCATTGAACTTCCTGGCTTGTGAGCACCTGTCAGTAGGGCCTGAACTCCTCTGCTAGCAAGGACAGAGAAAAGTGTGGCACTCACACCTCCCCTGCGATGGCCAGCATTGCCTCTGGGCAGGGCTTGGGTGATGCAGGGATCTGGGGCTCCTCTGCGAGGAGCAGAGACTCCAGCGCTGGGATAAGTGACAGCAGCCTTTGGAAGGTGGCCTGGTATTTCCACAAGCTGCCATGACCTCGTTAACAGGCTGCTTGCAGCTAATGAAGCAAAACCGAAGTGGAGAATCAGGGTGGTAACAGGAGAGCTCTGACTGCACGCTCCTCCCTGCCAGGTTCTGCTCCATGCTCTGGCTTCCAGGCTATGCCAAGTGGCGGTGCTGAGGTCAGGATTGCTGCTCAGGTGACTGAGGACCTGTTTTTCAAGAGCAAAAGCAAAAGGAAGGGGGAAAAAAAGGTGGAGGGAAGGATGAGGCATCACTCCTAGTTGCATGATTTCAGTGCTCTGCTTACACAGCACCCAGCTCCTCCTGTGTGTTTGCCAACATATATCGTAATATATGATATACAGCAGCGGCTCTTGTCCTACCTGCAAGGTACAGAGAGTCTGTGCAGCCAGGATCCATCCCTTGGGCCAGGGCAGAGGCAGAGCTCCCGGCCCCCAGACCATGTCCTGCAGGGAAGGGGGCTGCAGAGAGGAGCCATGCAGAGCTGCAGGGCATCCCTCAACCTTCTGTGAGCTCAAGCTGTTCCTTCAAGCTCTGCATGCCCAAATTCCCCTTCTTACATCTTGTGATAAGATCTGGGGGATGGGAATGTGGAGAAGGGGCTCAGTTTCCTGTAGGTCTTGAGATGTTTATTTTTTCTTTCCAAAGAGCCAGGCTTGACTGCCCAGACACAGTGGCTGCAAGGAAAGATTGCAAGGGCAGACTGAAAAGCAGTAAAGCATTGGGAGGCAAATCTGAGCGCTTGCTCCTCTTCCCTGAAATTGGATTTTAAATTCTAGTGATCGGTTAAGCAGGTCATAATTTTTCCGGAGCTGAACTGGGGTTTACAAGGCTTGAAATCAGCAGTGCTTCTGCAAGGGCCAGACTGCAGCCCTCTCTGCACCACATACCCGGGGCAATGATGTGCATCCAGCACCATCACCCCAGCAGCTGCAGGCCCACACAGGACAGAGGATACTGTGGCAGCACCACCACCACAGCAAATCCCTTTCCTCTTCTTGTTGTGCCAAAAGAAACAGAGAGGGAAGCGCACCTCTACTGTCTGGAAAGCTTGCCTGGCAAACTGCTGCAACCTCAGTTGCTGGCGAGTCAGACACTGTCAGCAGCGATGGAGGGACAGGATCCTGCCTTTGACTTCAAGTCTCTGTACAGTGTAGGCAACTCACCCCTCTCCCACAGACTGCCATGCACTGTGCTCAGCTTAAAATATAGCGGTGGGTCCCCCGCTCCTGCTCAGTCATGGCAATGTCCCAGAGCAGACGGTGGCAGGGACAGCCCTGCCAAACCCTTCAAAACCCGGGAAGAAGACACTGGCTCTGTCTGGATGATCTTGATCGGTAGGAAGAGGCATGGACCTCCCCTCCTGGTCACGGTTAGCAGCAAGGGGCCAGTTCACCCCACCAGCCTGGCACCCCAGCCCCTCTCCTGTCCCTTCCTTTCGCTCACTGTCTTGGTGGACAGCACATTCTCACCTTGAGGGGAGTGGAAATGGCAGCTGGAATGTGGGCTGGAAAAAAAAAGAAAAAAAAAAAGAAAAAAGAAAATCTTGAGGCTTGTCCAAACCTACTCATGTTTATATTGGAGCCTGTGAGTGACATCAGAGCAGGGAGAGTATAAACACCAGCAGGACCTACTCGGGGCTTTAAAACCTGCGAACACTCCGCTGCCTCCAAACTGCCTGGGGGGTGATGTGCTGAAGTGGCAGAGGGGAGAGCAGCATGAGGCTCCAGCTGGAGAAGCAGCTCCTCTTCCTCTCCTTCCTCTGCATCCTCTCCAAGGTAAGCGAGACGGGGCCCTGGGGCAGCTTTAGCCTTACTGGGGGAAGCACCCAGTCCTTGCAAAGTGAGATACAGGGAGGACTGGGGTGTTACGACAAGCCCGGTGTCTAACGTCGGCTGGCAGACAGGCCACAGGGGCAGAGCTATGCTTGGGAGAGACATTTGCAATTAAGCAGCAAGGTCTTAACGTTCATGGGCCAAAGACATCTGGTATGCAAGTCTAGGGAGTGCACAGGAATGACAGCAATGCGCTCTGTTTGCTCGCCCCGTCCCTGCAGCGCTGCCGGGGCTGTGCTATGTGTCCCTGCGAGCGAGCGAGCGAGCGGCAGCTCGGTGGTAGCGGCTCCTGCAGACTCCTTGGTCCCTGCCCAGGCTCCCAGGGCAGGGGGCCAAGCAGCGAGCATTAGTCAGCTCTCCCCCCTCCCCGGGATGCTCATGCAAAGCCAATGCCTCTGACAGGATTTGAGTTGTTGGGATTTTTTCTTTTCCCTCTTGGACTCTCGTGTGAAAATAGTTGCCTGTGCAAAGAACAGGAAAGTTGAGAAGTTTGGGGTATCTCAGCTCCAAGTTCTTCTAATTGCTGCTTGAATCCCAAGGCAGGGACATTGCGGCAGCATCGTGCCTATTTGACTCCTTTCCCAGGCAGTTAAGATCTTTGATAGGAGCCACATTGTCATCTAAAGACAAGTTAATTACAAGGAGCAGAAGGAAAAGGATTAATGGAGTTGGCTTGGCTAATCTTTCTAAAGCACTGACTTGTAATAGCAACCTCCTGAAAGATGAAAATTGTTCTTGGCTGCCTGGGTAAGCTGTGATGGAGAAATGACTCCTGCCCCAGGCTCTCCCGAGTGCCTGGAGAATCACCAAGGCCCTCGTGTGTCCAGCCCAAACCTGTCCACCTCAGCCAGTCCTTTGGTCCCTCCTGTGAGTCTCTCTCTGGGTTCTGCCACACTTATAGTGCTGCTCATGGATAAAATTAGAACAAGACCCAGACTGCTCAGTCCATTTTGGATATATTTTATCTCCTGGCACTGAGATTTCTACAGGCCCATAAAAAACATCTGAACTGCTGCAAACAGGGAACAGATAGCACACCAGTACCCACCCTCTCTGTTTAACCAGTCATGCCAGACCTGATGCTACTGGGAGAAACTGAAAGAGAAAGAAAAATGGTACCTAAGATCCACATGGTCCAGCCGAACTCATTGATCTCTTGGCTCTCAGCAGACACACCAGTATCTGGACCAGCACAGGGATGAGTTTTTTGGTTGCATGTTTGCTGAACAGCCGCCTGCGCTGCACGTGCTGGCCATGCAGCAAGCAGAGCATGTGTGGTGCTGAGCAGCAGGGCTGCCGGAGGGTGGCTCAGAGCTGCAGCGTGGGGCTCACATGTATTGTCAGGCCAGTACTGGCAAAGAATTCACTTCCAAACTGCAGAGCCAACTCACTTGGCTTCAGGCTCTATATGCAACAGCCCTGTCAGATACACCATGATGGGAGCACAAGGGCTGCCTGCAAAAGCTGTTTGTGTCAGGGTAATTGTGCAAGCAGAATGAGCAGTGGATATATAAACACCTACCTGCGCAGGTGAACTGCAGGCACATCCCTGGCAAACAATTGGCTGAGCAGGCAAATGACTGTGGTGCACAGTCCTGCTGAAGTGACTGCTCCATCTAGCTAGGAGGGGAAATGCAGCTCCCAGTCCTCGAAAACATGCCTAGCTCCAGGCTCCTCGCCCAGCGGCCTGGCCAGGCAGAGGATGCTGCAGGCAGGGTCAGGCAGAGGAGGCAGCTGGACCAGCAAGGAAAGCAGTGAGTGCTTAGCTTCAGTTCCCCCACTGCCGATATGATGCTCTGTTTGTTGGCATGAACAAGAGCTGTTAAGACTGTTCCGAGTGAGGTGCTGTGTCCTCACCATGTGCTTCCAGCCCCTGCAAAGCCACATCTCCAGCTGGGCACAACTCGCTGCCTGGGCAGCAGTCATGGGGGCAGGCTGCTTTCCCTCCCTCCTGCTGGGCTGCTTCAGGCAGCGTGTGGCTGTCTCCGGAGCTGCCAGCCCCATTAAATAACCACTGCTACCTGTGGTGTTTGCCTTGTAGCTCCATCTTCCTCCTGTGTGTTAAGAGCAGTGGTGCATTTAAGTCTCCATCCTGCAGAATGCTGAGCATCCCTGATTCTCCCTGGTTTTCCATAGGTGTCCATCACACTGTGCCCTAAGGGGGCAGTAGCTTTCCAGGCTGCTTCACCACATTCCCACGGATTCACAGAGCCTTCCTCCACCAAATATCTGCCCCCGTGATTGTGAGCCCCGTGACTGTCCCAGCGAAACAGCAGCCATTAGCCAAAACACAACCTGTATGAAATCAGCGATGGCTTTGCCTCCACAGGTGTGTGCCCAGCTGTGCCGGAGACCATGCTACTGCCCCTGGGTGCCACCCCGCTGCCCCCGCGGGTCTCCCCTGGTCCTGGACGGCTGCGGCTGCTGTAAGGTCTGCGCCCGGCGCCTGGGAGAGCCCTGTGACTTCCTCCATGTCTGCGACCAGAGCCAGGGCCTCGTCTGCGACTACAGCGTGGCACCGGCCGGGACAGGAGCCACCTGCAACTGTGAGCACAGGGGTGCCCGCTCCCCCCGGGGATGCCCCCGTGCCCACACCCCGGCTCCAGTCAGGGCCCCGGCCAGCACCAGACATCCCACAGAACTTTCAGGGCAGTGGTTACGGCTCCAAGAGCAGCTTTATTGAGGCTGATGCACACAGCTTGGCCGCGGGGCTGTGCTGCAGCTCCAGCCAGCTCCCATGCTATTCACCGACCGAGGATTCAGGGTGGTTTGAACAGGGATGCACATGGGGGTTCCTGGGATGCTGCAGAGACCTTGTTGGGGCTGCAGTCAGAGGGTCCTGCAGAGAAATTTCAGAGGAACTTTATCTAGCCTGAAAACCCTGAAAGACAGGGTCAGAGCTGAAGGGCAGTGAGTTTCTCACCACTCGTGTGGGGCAGACATGAGTGCTGCTGCAAACTCATGTCTGCCCCACACAACTCCTAGTCACTTCTGCTGCCCCCCCCAATTCAGTCCCTTCGTGCCAGCCCCACAGTTTCCCCCAGCAGTCGCCTCTTCCATCTGCATCTCTCAGTCACTTTGTCCCTAACGGGCTCCCCTGTCACTTGTAGTTGAAGACAACGAGGAGGGCTGCGAGGTGAACGGACGGGTCTATCGAGACGGGGAGGTTTTCCAGCCCAGCTGCAAACTCCAGTGCCGCTGCCTGGATGGGGGCTTCACCTGTGTCCCGCTCTGCCAGGAGGATGTCCGGCTGCCCACCCCAGACTGTCCCTACCCACGGCGCGTGGAGGTCCCAGGGAAGTGCTGCCCTGAGTGGATCTGCGAAGCCCGGGACCAGCACTTCCTCCGGGATGCTGGGGCAGGTAAGATGCAGGACACGCCAGTGAGAGGATGCCTACACAGGGCATCCATCTGGGGATGGTCCCTTCATCCCAGACTGTGAACATCAGCAGAAGACACCTCACTGCACATTTCTGTGCTGTGCAGGGCTATGCCCGCAGCACCCGCAGGGCACGCTGTACAGGGCCTGGCTCCAACCACCCTTTTTCCCCTCATCTCTTCATCCAGCCCCCAGGGCAGCATCCCCACCACTGCCATACCCCTGCCAGGAGTGGAGCACGGAGTGGAGCGCCTGCTCGGTCACCTGTGGCTTGGGCTTTTCTGCTCGTGTCTCCAACCAGAACCGCTACTGCAGGCTGGAGACTCAGAAGCGGCTCTGTATGGCCAGGCCCTGCCCGGCTCTGCCGGCGGCATCCCCGGTGGTAAGTGAGGGCCTCAGTGAAGCTGGTGCCTCTGGGCAACAAGTTTGACCAAGAAAGAGAAATGCCAGCCAATGTGAGCCATGGGACCCCCAATTACCTGTGGGCACCTCATGGACAGATAAATAATCTCCTGAAGCTTCACTTGGAAAACAGCTGATGGAAGGTGCAGACCTGAATTTTGGGGTCTCTAGATGTCTGAATCCAAGAGCACTGTGGATTCCACATAACCCTGAGCCACACAGGTGAGCTCAACCTGCCCCTATGGGCAGAGAGGCATTTTCAGCTCCTGCCTGGCTCCCTGCGTACACTGGGAGGGGGCTCTGACACCCCCTTCATTACCCAGGCATGGCCCCAGTGCAGGCAGAGTGCATACAGCTGGCCCTTTCTGGAGCCATGCACTTGCACTGCCACATGCCCCTGCTCCCTAGACATGGGGGACATGCCACCACCCTGCTCCATCTCCTCATCACTCTCTCCTCTGCCTTTCCAGAGGGGAAGAGGAGGTCGCTTGTAGCTGTGCCCACCCCGGTTGCATTCCGGAGCAAACGCCTCATCCTGGCAAAGAGTCTGGCACAAGCCCACAGAACTGTGGTTTTGGTGGAGATGAAGGATGTGTCCCCTGGGAAACTGGGGAAGAACTGATGGACTTTGGCTGCAAAGGAGGGTAGAATGATCCCCGTGTCACCCAGCACCTGCCCCAGGGTTACTGGGCAGCACCCCCAAGTTTTTTAGGCTGAATGAAATGGGGAAGCCCTGCCTCGAGCATGAACCCCCCCGAGAATTGGTCCTTTCCTGGATCAGTGAGGCTTTTGGAGAGGTGATGCTGCTCCTCCACCATGTCACACATGCAGCTCTGCTCTGCAGGGACTGCGAAAGAGACCGTCTCTGGCACCTGGAAGCCCAAAGGGCCAGGGGGAACTCTCACGTCCTGGCCCCTGGGGAAGGAGCAGGTACATCATGCACGAACTCAGCCATGCCATGATATCCACCCCACAATCCAGCAGCCGCCTTCCTGGGCATGGGCAGAGACGTCCTCCTGATGGCAGCTCTAATTCACCTTCCCTGCATCTCTCCAGAATAAACACGAACCTTCCTGCTCCGCCTGGCCTCCTCCTCTCCAAAGCGCTGGCGGTTTGGCAGGGCTTCGGCGAGCCAGGAGCTCAGACGCAGGAGACACCGTTCTACAGCACCAGACATACTGCCTGCCATCCAAGCACATACCCCATGACCCAAGTCCAAAAGAAAAGCAGGAAAAAGAGAAAACAAATTGCAAAGATGAGTCGGGGCTGTCTCCCGACAGGCTGGAGCTGCTCCAGCTATGCAAGAGTTGGCACAGGAGAGCTTCTCAGCAGCTCTGTCTTTACTTTCTCACAGCGATAATCCTTCTGGGTGACTGAAAAATGAAACCCAAATGCCCTCTAATGGCCTCACACAAGTGTGCAGAGGGAATGTGCATTCCACAGTGGGGCGAGAAGGGCAGCTGGAAAGGAGCAGCAGTTTAGGTGACGTGTCCAGGTGAGATATGGACAGTTTAGATGTGTATTTGTGGAACTGAAAATAAAGATGTGCTCATCTAGGTGTGGAGCTTGTCTGGGCCTGTTTGTGTGGGGTGAGTCCCGCTCTGGTGAGCCCTCAGGAGTCCTGCTGCTCAGGGCCAGCTCAGCTGCTGCAGGAAAGCCCTGACCCAGGATGGGGCAGCTTGGAGGCAGCTTAATTCAGGCTGCTTAGAATAAGAAAATTAAAAAGGAAAAGTGAATCAAAGCACTGAAAACATTATTATAGTATATTATATCCTGGGTTAAATTCTACCCCTTTGCTTTTACCCAGCTGTAAGCTCCATCAGCTCTGCTGATGGGTCCAACCCTGGCCGTGGCGGTGCCCGGGTCTCCGTGTGCTGCCAGGGCGTGTGGCAGAGCACAGCATGGTGCTGGCTGTGTTACTGCTGCTTTACAGCACCAGGCACAGACCAGGACATGCCTCTTCTCAGCCTCCCAAAAAACAAAGCCCAAACTCTTCCCCCTGTGATGCATCTCTCTTCCAGCCACCCGACACCTCCTCCACACACCCTGGACCACGATGTCCCTGGCATCATGCCACCATTGTCACCAGCTGATTGTCCTCCTGACCCAGGCTAATGCGGTACCAGGGCAGATTTGGGGTTTCAGGGGCAAAAGACTGAATGGCAGAGGGAGATCCCCTCTCCTGTCTGGGGAAAAGTCTCCCCACAAGCAGTAGGAAAGGCAGCAGGGCCAAGGCTCACCTGCGCCCCGACCCCTGCAAGTGCTGAAAATAAAATTAAAGTCAAGAACGCTTTTCAGTCACCTCTTTGGGGGGGGGAATAAAGTAAAAAAGAACTTACTGCCCATGCAGTAAAACATTGTTACAAAGAAAATTATTACTGACATCATCTGGTGCTCTGCCCAAATACAACTCATTAATTCGGTTTGATACAGGGGCCGTGGTGAACCTCTGGCAGGTGGAAAATTGCAGAATGAACGTGGCCTGGGCTGCCACTTTTGTTGATTTTCTTCACTTCTGCGACAGCCATGCCAAAAAAGCAGTGACACGAGGCTCGTGTAGACTTTAAAACCACAATGTTCCTCGACTGACATGGATTAGACATGTTCTGTGTCCCGAAAATCCTGCTTTAAAGCCAGTTCTTGTTTGAGCATGCTGGGACACGGCCACCAAGGCCGTGTGAGCTGCCAGCAGGGAGTGCTGCCACAACTCTCATCCCCTCCCAAATCCTGCCCAGCCACCTCTGGGTGATGGTAAAAATCAAAAGGTCACTTTTTAAGAAGCAACCTGCAATTCTCATCTCAAACAGAAATGACTCAACACTATAATTTACCTTTTTTTTTTTTTCCTGCAAAATGTCATTTCTCCCTGATTCACCAAGCAGAAAACATCTAAATAATTAATTAATGAATCCAAATAAATCAGAATTATTTTTCCCTAAGAACACAGGGAAATCAACTCTTGCAATTTGATGGCCAGTCTTATGATATTTGCTGTTCCCTCTAAAGCCCTGCTACCCTGGAAACACGTGGTTGTTTGAGGATCACGTTTATTGCAGCCCCCGATGCAGCAGGTCCTGGGCTCTGCCTGCTCTTGTCGGGCAGTGTGTGTGTGCCATCCACAGATTATCTGTAAAGATTAAAAAAACCCCAAACCAGAAGACAACTCACCCTTGTCCTCAAGGCATACTGCACACATAAATGGCATGGGATTTGACAGCCATATTCCTGAACCAGTGGTGAGCAACAGATCATTTCAGCACAACCGCACACAGCAGCTGAAGGAGAACCTGTGCACTACTGCACGAGTAAACAACACACATCAGAACTTTTTTCCAAGCCATTCTCATGACTGATGATTTTTAAATGCATGGAGTTGGCTGAGAAAGGGCTGGATGAGTCCCTCATTAAAGCTATACATTTTCAGATACCTCCCTGAGCACAGGAGCGCAGTGCTCAATTAAAAAATAGTAGACCAAGGCCTTTTTTTGCTGTTGGTGAAGAGACTTGAGCTGGTTCCCTGAAAGCCCATCTCTCAGGTTACGTGTTTGCTACCTGCAGGAGCAATCCCAGCCCTGTGCTCTCGCACTGCCCTGGACGTGCTGGCAGCAGCAACGCTGCTGGGTGCTGGAGCCGGGCACTGGAGGGGAGCATCCTGATACGGGATTCTTGGGCAGAGCTGGGTGGTAGCACCTCTATTGCGAGTGAAATCATGGATCAAGTGAACACCTTGAACACACATGAGGCAGGAACAAAAGAGGAGCCATGATGCTCTGTGTGTGCCTCCAGCAGGTCTAGGGAGCAGGAGATACGGAGGGCATGGGGCTGCAGGCAGGCATGGACACTGCTCCCCGTGCCCTCTGCTCCTGTCTTCCTGTGGCAGGAGGCACCCAGACCTAAGCCTTCATCCTAGGGACAAAGAAAGTTTTGCCCACACTGCTGAGAGCAGCTTGTGACCCTTCCCATGATTACAGCAGTCCTCCCAGCTAGCTGCTGTCTCTGCCTCAGTTTCCCTAATGGTTGATGCTCTGGGACAAAGGGCACTACTCCCAGTTTGTTTCTCATTTCACTGCACATCTGCCCCTCCATAAAGTTGCTTGGCAGTTGCTTTCCTGAGGGGTGAATCCCCATGGACTCCCTCCTCTGCTGCTGCTGCTACTCCAGGAGTACAAACCCACCAGAGCCTCAAAAACCCCACATCCTTACCCCATGGAAACAGCTTTTAAGCTTCAATTCTCAGGGCACAGCTGTGGTGGCTGGATTTTATCACCTAGGGGGGAAATAACATAGAGCCTTTCCCATCACTTATCTGCTCCAGCAAGCACTTTTTGGAGTCAACACGCTGATATTCACAACAAGCAGCTAACAGCACCCCATGTGTCTGACCCGAGGTGCCCGAGCATAGTCCAGCTGAGATGTTTGATTGCTCCCAAGGAAGAAAGGGCAGTCGGGATGGCTTAGCAGGACTCACCCCCCCATTCCCTGGTGACAGATGAGATACCATTCTTTTCCCACTCCCTGCCCTAGATCAAGTTCCAAGAGAGCAGTTGGCCATTGCTCTTCCTGGGCCCAGCCCTTCACCTGAAGTTGTTTTGCCAAGGTCGTTTCTCTATGGCTTGCCAGGGTAAACCTTCTCCCTTCTGGTTGCTGGCCTGTTTACTCCTGCGCCTGGAGATGAAGTTATTTCTGGCCTCATTTATGTAGCAGCAGCTGCTCAGCAATGCACACAGGGGCTGGCTTTTCTTGGGGGTCCTCTTTGGGATCACAGTTTTAGCTCTTTCCCCAATCTCACAGTATCTGGGTGTCTTCTGCGTGACATCCCCTGGGACAGGGAAGGTAGGAGAGGAGGGTCACAGCCTGTCTCACATTTCCTCCCCACACGGGTCAAAGCCTCTCAAAGGAGGAGGAGGAGGAGGAGGAAAGGGGATTTCTTTATTTAGGGAGGGACATAGAAGGAGGCAGGGAGTGCAGGTCATCGCTGTGTGCTGTAGGGAAGGTGCAGTGGGGAGCGGGGAGCGGGGCTGCCTGCGCTGGGGGCTGACAGCCTGGCAGGCCTGGGCCCGCTGGCACTGTCTGCGGCACCGCTGCCTGCTCCCAGGGCTGGCAGCACGGCCCCGTGGCAAGCTGCTGGGCTCTGCCCTACTCTGCTCCCAGCGCTGCTGGGTGGACAGCACAGTGCGCGCAGTGCAGCCAGGAGAAGGGCCGGCAGGACTGGAAGTGAGGGGCACCTCATGGGGTGCAGGCTTCCAGCCCCTGCTCTGGAGGGATGGGGGGCTTCTCACCCCGGGCGGGACAGAACAGAAGCAGACTGAAGCTTTGGCCACCGTCATCAGACATCTTCCACCCACGCCGAGGCAGAGCCCCTCTTTCGCCTCCCTGTTCCCTTCCTCCCGCTCCCTCCAGGCACGCACAGTGTCTGAAATAGCCGGGGCCCTGCGTGTCCCTGGCGCCTGGCTCAAAATATCTCCAGTGGGCTGGCAGCAGGCGCCGAGGGAGCAGCAGAAGCCGCTGGACACCAAGGCTCTCCGCTGAGGCGGCCCTCGCCACATCTTCCCCACGCTCTGGGGGAGACCCTCACACCCCAAACCCCCCGGCTGGGGCCCGGCCGGAGCAGGGAGGTGAGGGCAGCCCCAGCCTGTGCCGGGGCACGTGGCGGCTGCCAGGGCCAGCTCTGGGCACGGTGCTGCCGCTGCCGCCCCGCCCCTGCCACCGGCGACAGCCACCGCTGTGCCCGGCAGTGGCACCTCCGAGCACGGCCACGACCAGCACCGCCCCGGGAGCAGCCACCCCACCGTGGGCAGGGCTGCCACAGCACCCCATGGCCATGGAGATTCTTGGCCCATGGTTCGGCAATGGCAGCAGGGCACTGTGCCCCGTGGACGACGCCTTCGCCCAGCGCTTCTTGCCCGCTGTCTACCTGTCGGTGATCCCCCTGGGGCTGGTGGGGAACGGGCTGGGGCTGTGGCACCTCTGCACCGGGCCCCGGCGGGGCGCCCGCCATCCCCTTGGCTTGCTGGTAGGCAACCTGAGCCTGGCCGACCTGCTGTACGTCAGCACGCTGCCCTTCCTTGTCAGCTACTACCTGCGGGGCAGAGTCTGGCTCTTCGGACACAGCTGGTGCCGGATCACCCGGGGCCTCTTCCACCTCAACCTCTATGCCAGCATCGGCTTCCTCACCTGCATCAGCGTCCTCCGCTACCTGGGCATCGTGCACCCGCTGAAGGCATGGGGCAGGTACCAGGGGACAACCTCTTCGGTGTGGCTCAGCGTGATGGTCTGGGTATGGGTCATTGCACAGGTAGCTCCCGATTTTGCCTTCAGCAAGATGGATGATATGGGGACACGGTGCCACGACACGACAGGGCATGAGAACCTGGCGGCTTACTTGCCATACACTGCAGCCATCACCGTGACTGGGTTCATCATCCCATTCCTCATCATCATTGGATGCTACTGCCACGTTGTGGTGGTGCTCTGCAGGAATGACACCATGGACCTCAGTCTCAGGAGAAGAAGCATCAGACTGGTGATTCTCGTGATGGTCCTCTTCTCCATCTGCTTCCTTCCCTACCACATCTTCAGAAACCTCAACTTGTTATCTCGAGGCTGGCAGCTGCAAGGGTCCTGCACACAGGCTTTAAAGAACATCTACATTTCCTACCAGGTGACCCGGGGCCTGGCCAGCTTCAACAGCGCTCTCAACCCCCTGCTCTATGTGATGACCAGTGAAGACTGCATGGCACGTATGAGGACCATTTGCCAAAGAGCCAGCCAGTCCCTGCAGTCTACCTCTTGTAAGGCGGATGAGAAGAAGGTGAGCATCATTCTTTGTGAGGAGGAAGCTTCTGATGAGCTCTGAGGTACCCAACACCCCCTCCAAATGCATTCTTTCAGTTTGCATTTGGTCCTTTCTTGGGACCAGCCCCCCTACCTTGATGCCTGGTTTGCAGAGGGATGGTGACTGCAGCATCACTGGCTCCAATCTCACACAAGACAGGCAGGACTGCCTGCATCAGAGAACAAACTGGGACCAGGTTTTAGAGCAAAGCTACTCAACCCAACCATTTTGCCTACAGTATGGCTGGAGATGGAAAGAGAAGAACATTGTGTTAACTCCAGTCCTGAAGTATTTCTCAGCCTTTCAATGAAGTGGTCTGAGCAGGTTAACATCCTGCTGGCTCCCTGGATGCTCACTGAGCTCCTCAATGAGTGAGGGATGGCGGTGAATGATGTCTTGTTCCCCCCTGCTGCATCCCCTCTTCCCCACTGGACATGGGTTTGAGACAGGATTCCCTCCTTCACCTAAGGAGAGGGCATCAGTAATTAACTACCTGCATAGCGTTCCGGGCAGCGGTCACAACCAGCAAGAGAATTCCCGGCTAACAGCTTCTCTCTGGCGGGGAAGTGCAAACGTGCACGTTTTCGGCCGAAAACGCGTTTTCGGCCGAAAACGCTCACCAAGCCCCATTCTGAGAAAAAGCAAGCACGGAGGACGAGAATCGCTGTTGCCCTGCATAGCGTTCCGGGCAGCGGTTACAACCAGCAAGAGAATTCCCGGCTAACAGCTTCTCTCTGGCGGGGAAGTGCAAACGTGCACGTTTTC